TTAATATCTCTAACCACCCGGACTGTTTTTCTTGTAAACTTCCTCAAATCTTTGACTTTGCTACCATTTCCCATAAGGTGACCATCCTCAGAGTATCTATAAAGATAATGCCTATACACGCATCTCATAAAAGTTGAGGTATAGACATAGTCTTTCTTCTTTTTTCTCACACCCGGGAGCTTTTCCAAGCACTTTTTAGTGAAGTAGACCCCTGGTTTTGTGTCATCTACAGCCTTAAGTAGGTGATTCAATCTGATTGTAGGCTCGGTAACATCATCAATATGTGCCACTTTGATGGTAGGCTCCCCATATTCATCCGCATCCATTTCAATGATGACTTCATCATCAAAGAAATCCTTGAAGCTTGTGATTCTCCTTGGTTGTTCCTCCTCATCTTCTTGCACCTTTGATGTTTCATATCCCGAGGACACTTCCCCATCCTCCCTTGGTTGTGTCTTCTTTTTGGGCTTCCTCTTTTTCTTCTTTTTGGGCATCTCATAAAACTATATTTTTTATGTCTATTGTAGGTTGATCAACAGTGTCCAGTATGATGACTTCTTCCTCAGTTTCTGAGCTGATTTCCACATGAGCAGATTTTGAGGATGATGGCTTACTAGCATTGATATTTTCTGTAATTTTAATATGCTCTGTGATTTTACCCTTCCCTTTCTCCTGCCTTGTATATTTTTTCTGCTGCTTGTCTGTTATAGGCACCCATTTGTTGTTTTGCTCCTTCTCTGTAGTCAATTCCATATGTAGTTGTTTTTTTGGACATTTGGAGTCAGAGTGACCCAAATGTAAACAGCCTTGACAGTAATCCGGCATGTTCTCATACAGAATGGGTTGGGAAAACCCATGTGCACCACAATTGATCCACACCTTATTTGGCATCTCCTTAATGAGATCCAATTCCACACATATTCTAGCAACTGCTGGCTTAGCTAGCGAAACAGTAGCAGCATCTAACTTCAAAGGCCTGCCTACAAGATTTGCAATCTCAAAAAGAGCTTGTTTATCTTGTAAGTGAATAGGTAACCCTTCCATAGCAATCCATACAGGAACAATAGGAGATTCAACATTAGGACGAAATGCAGGTGTCCATTTAGTAACCCTCATAACATTACCTTGAATCATCCATGATTGACGATTCCAACAACGAATAAAATCTTCCTCTAGATCAAAACGAATCAACACATGCTTTGGATCTAAAGTTCCCAATTGGAAAGAACCTTTGTATCTGGTTGGGGTTTTATTTGAAATAGAAGCACCTCTATTAGCCACCACATCTGCAAAAGACTTCCCTTCCCATGCTCTTCCACCTCCCGGCGGTGGAGCCGCCGAAGTAGGAGTTGCCGTCATGCGCTGAGTTTGATCGCCAGAGCTTCTCTCCATACATATATATATATATATATATATATATATATATATATATATATATATATATATATATATATATATATATATATATATATATATATATATAGTTGTCTTGAGGCAGGCCGTTTGAGCATTCTTGAATAGTTGTCCTTCTAATTTTGGGTCTTGCCTTGATATTTTGAATTGCTTTCCTTTCATGGCTTAGATTATTTTTGCAAAGATATGCTCTTAAATATTCGCATAAGTAAGGAAGAGTATCATTTATAGGTGACAACTAATAACCTTGTTTAATATAGCATATATTAAAAGATATTACTTATTAACCATCACTATGCACGGTCAATCATTAAATCATGCAATAACAAACATTCTTAACATATTGAACCATGCAACAGACCCTTTCCTTAAGAAGGATTTTCATTTAATATTTAACTAGCAAAGATCTTCGCACATGTGTGTTTGACATTTTCTTAGCATATTCAATTAGGCTACAATCCGCAAGATTCTTGTATAGTAAAAGTAATGATTCTTTCTATAAGCAATCAAACCATATCAGTCAACTCATTTACGTGAGTGATTAAACACCCATGGAAAGAGATTTCAATTAAGCCACGTAGTATCAAGAATATTAGATCATAGATTTATCATGTACGCTGATAAGTCCGTATTTAGACACGCATTTGATACGTTTTGGGGTCGGATTTTGATGGTTTTCCTAGCTTTAAGGTGTTGCAAGTCTGAAGTTTAGATCAAGATGTAATTATCAGGCGTTGGGTCGAGTTTTGTTGCATTTGGAGTTGAATTGAAGAAGTTAGAGACCGGCATCGGTGCTTAAAGAGGCAATCGAGAAGATTTTGGAAGCATTCGAGGAAGATTTGAGAGCTTTAGAGGTCACCGGGAGGTTCACGATGAAGATTTGAAGGATCTAGTAATCCGGAAGAATTACTAGAATTACAATTGCACATAGAATAAATTAAGAGAGATCTAGTTTATTCTAGGACACATTCACACACACTTAATCGTTCGCTAAGAGATTAGTAGCGATTAAGAGGTCGTAAGCTCGCTCGTCTTGTCAATAATTTAGGATCCTGTCGCATGAGAGATCAGCATGGTCCCCTAAATTATTGTACTCTACGCCACGAGAGTGGTAAGAACTTAGTATTGATTTGCTAGGCTCAATTAAATTAAATTCATGTAATTAAGCTTGATCTGCCAGAAATCTGATTACCTTGGAATCAATCCTTGTTCCCTTCGTCGTTAATTAAGAAGAACCCAAATCTTTACTTTTAGTCGCTCATTCGCATTAGTTTAATTTCAATTCAACCGATCAATCTCGCACGATGCATTTATTTAATTTTATTTCTTTTTAATCGCTGAATTTAGTTAATCTTTAATTCCCTTTTGTCTGTCCCTGTGGAGACGATACTCGTACTTTCACCACTATTCTACAATCTTTTTAAGTGCGAGAAAACTCACATCAGTTTTTGGCGCCGTTGCCGGGGACGGTGTCGGTTTTAAGGGTTAATTAATTTCAGCGAGATTTTTTTTTTAGTTAGTTTTTCTTTTTGTTTTCCGTAGGATTTTTCTGTGCTAACCTTTCAGGTTTTCTTTAAGAAACATGAGATGAACCCATTCAACGAAATTTCTGGAGGAATTCCTTACCCTCAAACCTCCATGGAATATTCACCATTTACGCAATACTCTCCTTACATTCCTCCTCTTCCTCCTCCTCAATATTACACACCTCATCAAAATTACTCTCCTACACCATAAAATTATCAGTTCTCTTGTTCATACCCTCCAACCACGCAACCTTATATGCCTAAGAATAATATTTGTCCCTTCTGTGGAGGATGCCACCATATATCTTTTTGCCCCGTTAAATCTCCATATGACCATCCTTACTGGGCAACTGCATACCCCACTTCGTCCTCCCCACGACTTACAGATACAAATGTTTCAACCATTCCTAGATCTTTGCCGAATAATAAGCCACATAATCAATTTAAGAAGACACTTTCAGAGATTCTGTTTGAGTACACAGAGATGATGAGGGAGAGCACTTCAGCCATAACGGAGAGCACTTCAGCCATAATGCAGAGCACTTCTGCCATGATGAAGGATATAAATACCATAAGGAGCCATCTGGTAGAAGACCAATCCGAGGAGACCAATAGGGATGATCACGTGAGTGAGTAAGACAATGATGGTGGGAATATGATGGATGATACACTTCCTGATGATGTTGAAGACTCACCTATGTTTGAAGATGAAGAAGAAGATAATAGTGTCAAGTTGTTTTTCGAAGAATACATGAAAAAGTTTGTAACGGCACAAGATGTAACGGATGAAGTCACAAATCACTGTGATTTCCATACAGAAACTCACCAGCCGTTTGATTTACCATTAGTCTCAACACCTGAGGAGGGCAAGGAGAAGATCAGTCATGATGATGGTGCTACTGAGGTAGGTTTGGGTATTGAAGATGAGTTGAGAAAAGATAATCATGAGCTCCAAGAGAGTCATAGCAAGGTAGATGATCTCCATGACAAAGAAGTCCCGCTCCACATACAAGATTACTCCTCTTACGTTAGTCCAGGTTTGGATTTCTTTGATTCACTCCTTGAGGATGATATTCCTTTTTGTCTAAAAAGTGACAACATCATCCAAGAAGACATTCATGAGAACGGTATTACCGAGAGTTGGGATACTCACATGGCACTAGTGCAAAATTACCTTTTTGCGGCGCTTAAATCAACCAACGTGCGGCGCTTTCAGGCGCCACACATCTCGGTGCCGCAATTTAACGCGTGCGGCGCTTATTTTCAAAAAGCGCCGCAAAATATTTTTTAAATTAATAATTTAATGCGTAACCGTGCGGCGCTTTTCTGTAAATAAGCGCCGCAAATATTTTTTAAATTAATAATTTAATACGTAACCGTGCGGCGCTTTTCTGTAAATAAGCGCCGCAAATGTTCAACATTTTTTTAAAATATTCAATTATATTTAGGATCTTTCAAAAACGTCCTGTAACAGAATTAACAAAATTCAAAAAGTGTAAACTGTTTAAAGTCATCACAATATCAACAACATGAACTTCACAAATTACAGAATCAGCAAAGTGTAAGCAATTCAAGTAACCAACAGATTACAAAAATCTTCATAAAAATGATTTCAAAAAACACTTAACACAATACATAACCAATGTAATCAACTTTTACATATTTAAGAGTACATCCAAGAAAAATCGTGCCCATATATTGCGAATGTTATTAAACTCATCTTCAGAATATGCCTCAGTTCTTGAATACCAATCCTACAAATATTTAGATAAAATAAAACATAAATAAAAAATATTACAACTTTTAAATTAGAAAAAATTAAACGAAGTTAAAAAATAAGAATAAATAATGATATACCTTTCCAATATCAAAGCTATCAACATACGAAATCACTTCCCATATGTATCGCATGGTATAATATTCGCATTCTGTGTTTCCGTTTTGTCTGGCACACTTTTTTGAAATACAAATTTACAAAATATATGTATCAAAGTTAATGGTGATTGAAATAAGTTATTGATGAATTTACCTTAACATTATGCCATGTGATTGGCTTTCCATCACCATTTCTTGCGGAAGTAACTCTGTATGCTCTACATTAAAAAATTTATGTTAAATGATATAAATAATAATAATAATAATAATAATAATAATCTATAGCAATTATTATAAATAAAAAATATTAAACGAATACTTACAATGCTAGATCTTTCTGAATGCTGATATTAGAAAAGCTTGGGATTGAATTGAAGATATAGTCTTTATTAACCGAGGGGCAAATGACTATCAAAATCCAATGAAATCTAAATATCAAAAAAATTACAATTAATTAAAAAATTAAATTTACATAAGCAGATACATTATATAAAATAAAACTATTTACCCTTCATTATATGGAAGCAAGATCATTCTTTTTCCAAATGTCGCACACAAAGATTGTTTCATATATGTTATTGTGCCCTTCTTGTCAAGTTGATAAGAACCATAAGAGCACAATAAGGGGCACAAAAACACAACATCATCACGTTGCAAATCATTCAATTTAGCTAAGGCACACCTAAAACACATAAACATAACATAGCATCATTATACAATTTTGAAGTTCAAATCATTTCATTAACTTTAATTTAGATATTGTTATATTTATTTAAAATACTTACAATGCAAAGGATTGAATGATGCACATATCCACAGAATCACCCTCCAGTAGTTCAGTCAAGTCTTTACGATCGATGATAGTCCCAAATTCACTGTTTTGCGGATAGTGAAAAGCATTAACAAGTAAAGCAATAGAGAATTTACACACCTCTGGCTCATACCACTCTAGCATCTCATGTAGCTCCAATAAATCTTCAGTTAGTGACTGCAAAATAGTATCACTAACCAATGGGTATGTGCTAGGAGGAACCACAACCCGAGGAGACTCTCTCGGAATAAAAGCTTTATTCTTTTGAATCACATCTTTCCGCTTTGACTTTACCTGATCCTAAAAAAATGGTCAGAATGACAGTAACATAGAGTAATTTTGTATTGTTTGATAATTGCAAAGAGTTATTTATTCACCTCTCCTTCAAAAAAAACTAAATGACTAGGCCACTCAACAAATGATCCTATAGCGTCTGTCAACACATATATATCAGCATTAACATTTGGAACTAAAAGAGGACATTGCTCAAAACCTGTAAAAACCATTGAAACAAAAAACAAACTTAAATAATAATAACATTTAAAGATTTGCATCTCACAAAATCTGTGAACACTATATATGGAAACAAAGGATGACATTTCACAAAACCTGTATAAATCATAGATATGTTAACTTTAATGGTATTAGCAGACATCGGAATATTATGTATCATGGCCCCCAGGGCTGTATTATAAGCCAAAGCCATTGCTACATATTTCAAATCTTTGTGTCCATCTTCTGTTTGTGACTCAACAGCTAGCTTACAGGATGAACCATCCTATAATTATTTTCAAAAAAAGTTAATAAATATTGTAGACATTAATAAATATATATGATTTTAATAATTACTTACAACAAAAACTTTTCGTGGAATAGGTGCGGTGGAGTTCATAGTGTCTGCATCTACTGTTTGAGAATGCGTAGATGGAAATGTGGTAGATTGAAATCAAGAGTGTCATCTTCACAAATGGGACATGCCTTTCCACCTTTAACTGTATATCCAGAAAGATTTCCATAAGCTGGAAAGTCATTAATAGTGCAATACAACAAAGCACGCAAATTAAAATTTGTTTTTGTGTGCATGTCATATGCTGTAACACCCTCATTCCACATAAGTTTAAGATCATCAACTAATGGTGCGAGGTACACATCAATATCATTACCGGGTTGTTGTGGTCCCGAGATAAGCAAAGACAACATTATGTACTTCCTCTTCATGCACAACCATGAAGGCAAATTATAAATAACCAATAAAACTGGCCAAGTACTATGTTGAGTACTCAATGTGCCATATGGATTCATACCATCAGTGCATAATCCAAGTCTCAAATTCCTGTCTTCTTTGCCAAAATCAGGATATTTCAAATCAATTTGCCTCCACTGTGGTGCATCAGATACATGTCTCAAGTACTCATCTTTTTTCCTGCCTTGAGCATGCCACACTAAGTTTTTTGCATCTTTCTCATTCATGAATAATCTTTTAAATCTAGGAATGATAGGAAGATACCACAACACTTTGGCAGGTGTTTTGGTGTATTCAGCATCAAACCCAACATTAATACCCTTCTTCTTCTTATAACGTGAAGCGTGACACTTTGGACATTCATTTAGGTTTTCATATTCATTGAGGTACAGTATGCAATCGGCTGGGCATGCATGAATTGTAACACCCCTAAATTTCCCGCCCAAAACATTGATATATTTAAAAGAAATACTTTATCCATTCATTAAAGAGTTGAAGAAATACAGCGGAAGTCTAAAACGGAAATGAGTGTTACCGCCACATTCGGTCATCTCTTAACCGAATGCACAGACAACTCAAAGTAAAACAATAAAAACTAATGTAATAATAAGTAAATGTTAATTTCATGACTAGATTTAACTAAGGCATCTTCTAATTCGCACTCAAGCTCGAGCAATCCATCAATCCACATAGGTATCCAACTCATCACCTGATAAAATTTAAGGTAGAAGAGAGAGACAAGAAAAATAACAAAAATTAGCTTTAGAGCTAAGTAAGTACTACCCAACCCCGTAAAATAATCATGTTTGACAAAAATAAATCTTTGTATAATAATATATAAAAATACTCACACCATCGAAATTCTTTTCACTTTGATTTTTCTCAAAACTACTTCTTTACAAAAATCCTCAACTTCTCTTGGAAAATCTCTTAGTAATTCTTCTCTTTAAACTTCTTAAGAAAATCACTTCTTCTCTAACTTCCTAGTAATTTAGAAGGGCGGTGCTTAACCTTTCGGTAGAGCCCGGTGGACCGTGGTTACGGACGGCCACCCCGAACAAGTGCCGGTACCACAACTGCTCTGTTGGAAACGAAACGACTACCTTAAGTGTGCACACCCCCTAAAAGGGATTCCAAGCCCTCGGAGTAGTAAGTCATCCCGAGTGGTCGGAACCCCACCACCCCAATTCTAAAATTCTTGAATGATTAGGGACTACTACTATAACTTCTTCTTAAAAGGGATCATAGATCCAAATCTCACTTAAAAGGGATCATAGATCCAAATCTTACTTAAAAGGGATCATAGATCCAAATCTTGCTTGAAACTTAAACTGTGCTTCTTAGTAGTAGTAGCTCTAATCACCCTCCACATTTATCCGGATGTGGAAAAACCGACACCTCGGATTACTCCCGAGATGCTCACTTCCTATGAAAATGTAAATTTTATCTTCGCTTAATAATACTTCAAAAATACTTCTTAATTTCTCTAAAAAGTCTCGAAGGTATTTAAAAATATTTAATACCTCAAAAATACTTGATTTATACTTCTTAACTACCATATATATAATACCTCCTCAAAATCACATACACAAAATTCACAATTCACACTTAATCACATAATGCATATAATAAGCATATAATACGAGGAAACAATTTTGGATTGGCAGAGAAACTTACCTTAAGTCCTGTTGCTCCTAGTTATCCTCCTCTAATCCGGTCTCTAGATAATCACCTTTTTAATTAAATATGATAAAATTAGTCACTTATTCTATTTGAAATTACTTTACCCGATTTTCTCCTTTTATTTTATTATTCGCATTAACTTTGGTTAATCACTTTTTATTAATCAAATTACCTTATTAATTCAGCCATTAATTACAATATTTGAATTCTAATATTAAATAAAATATTCGAATATAATTAACTACAACATCTAAATTTTTATCCAATAATCACTATTAATTTACTCTACTCATAAATTATTATCTAATTACTTTATTTACATAACCGAATATATTTAGTTTGCTTATTTTATTCAAACATTATTTTTAGTCCAGAATATTAATTTTTCAACCTCACTGATTTATTTATTTCATCATTCATATTAATATTTACTTATTTAATTACTTAACTAGTCTTATATGGCCTAATTTAAATAAATAGACTAAGAATCGACTTTATAAATTAGTAACCGTCCAGAAATATATTTTGGGTCTATATTCGACCTAGGTTGTCCAGATATCTATTTTATAATTATTTTCCATAATTATTCCTTTAATTTCATATATCTACTAACCGATTTAATTACAATTAAATATACTAAACCTTAATATTTATTAATTATAAATGGTCCATAAGGTCCTAGTTAGTCATATATTTATCCTAGTTTACTCCAATATTTATTTCATAATTATTTTCGTTATTTAGTTAATTATTTACTAAATGTGTATAAATTAGCCCAATTACCATTAAATCAAGTACAAATAGCTAAAAATATTATTTTCCAATTCTGGTTGGTCCGAATAGGTATATTTATACTAGGTATTTAATTTATATTTTTCCAGATTTTATTTATTTCATTTACTATTTTATTTTTAATTTTTATTCCAACTGGGCCGAACTGGTCCAAATTAAATTTTCTGGCCCAACCTGAAAAGGCCCAAAAGACAGACCAGCAGATTTCTGGGTTGTCTTCTTCCCCAGGTTGCCGGAAAAACGGGAATTTAAGGGGGGGGAGGTGTTACCTCGTCGGACGAGCGAAACGGCCGGCTACTAGCTCCGTTTGGGACGGCGAATGTCGGTGGTGGGTTGGCGGCAGCGGCAGCTCCTCCCTCTTCTCCGTTTTCCGTCGAAAAGTTTTTCCCCGGCGAAACTCCGGCGAGGCTTTTCTCCCTCGTTTCACGTCCGTTTTCGACGATTCTTTTTCCGTTGGATTCGTATCACGAAGGGGAAGGTTTGAGGGGTGTTTTCAGGGCTTGGTTCTGGCTCAAACGGTGGGTCGAAAAAAATATATATAATATACGTATATATGTATGTATATTTCGTAGTTTTGTTTTTGGGATGAACAAAACGTAGGTTCTGGCTTGCTATTTATAGGGAAAGATGAGGGTTTTAGGCTGAGATGTTAGAGTTGGAGTTGGAGTTTAATCAGTTTCTCCCGTTGGTAGCTTACGCTGCGTAGGAGTTCATATTTGTTTGTGTAGTTCAAATTGGTTTGGATGTTAGAGTTTATATTTAAATTGGTTTGCACGTAGGTAGTTTAGTTTAAAATTCGTACGTTGGTAGTTTAGTTTAGTTTTATTAGGAGTAGGTTTCTATTATATTTTATTTATTATATTATTGTATTTGTGTATTATTATACTTAATTTAAAATAGATATATATATATAAAAGTTAATTTTATACTAAAACATAACTTCTATTATCGGACCACTTTTATCTGATTAAAAAATGTCGTAAATGTAAATTTTCTATCTGGTTCACTAGTTTACTAAAATGTTGTTCTTATTACTGAAGTATTTTTATCGGACTAAAACGTCATAAATTTTGAAAATTTTATCTGATTAGAATGTTACAACTGTTGAATTTTTGTCTGACTCAATTAATTACAAAAATGTTATTTTTGTAATATTTTATCTGACTAAAAATTATTTTTATTTTTATTTAAATTTTTGAAGTGTCACATTCTACCCTCCTTAAAAGATGTTTCGTCCCGAAACATTAACTTAATCTAAGTACTCAAATTCTTAAGTATTACATTCTACCCCCTTAAAGAGAGGTTACGTCCTCGTAACTAATATTTTACCTTAGTCAAATAACTCTGGATACCGTTTGCGCATATCCTCTTCAGTCTCCCATGTGGCATTTTCGGCCAAATGGTTAGACCACAACACCTTTACCATCTTAACCGCTTTTCTTCTAGTCTCACGAATCTTAGTATCCAAAATCTGGATCGGCCTCTCCTCGTAAGTCAACGATTCATCCAACTCGACCACCTAAGAAAGTCGGGGTTAGATGTGATACTTTGATCCTACTATCATAAGGTTACGATTCGTACCTCGGGGCTAAGAATATGGGATTCGTCGCGGACATACTTCTTCAATTGGGAGATATGGAAAACATTGTGTACCTACGCATCACACACTTTAGTACTTGAGAGAAGTTTATTAAGGTATTCACTAACGAGCGGTTATAGTATGTTATACCTTAGCCAACTCGGTGGGTAGAGCTAGACGATATGCAACTTTTCCCACTCGCTCGAGGATGTCATATGGGCCAATGAACCTCGGGCTTAGCTTTCCCTTATTTCCAAATCTCATTACTCCCTTGGTCGGGGAGACTCTGAGTAGGACTTTCTCTCCCGCATCGAATTCGGCTGGCTTCCTTCCCAAGTCTGCATAAGACTTCTGACGATCTTGTGCAGCTTTCATCCTTACTTGAATCATCTTCACTTTCTCTATGGTGTCTTGGAAGTAATCCGGCCCTAACACCACTTGATCTTCCATGTCACTCCAGCATAGTGGGCTTCTACACTTTTGACCATATAGAGCTTCGTACGGGGCCATTTTGATACTGGCGTGGTAGCTATTGTTGTATGAAAACTCTATTAAGTCTAAGTGTTCGTCCCACAATCCTTGTAGGTCTAACATACATGCTCTCAGCATGTCCTCGAGTGTTTGGATGGTTCGCTCCGTTTGTCCATCAGTCATTGGGTGAAATGCAGTACTCAGCTTCAGCTTCGTCCCCATAGCAGCTTGCAACTCCTTCCAGAATTGAGATAGGAATCTGGAATCTCGGTCAGAAACAATGTCTTGAGGAACTCCATGGTACTTAACCATGTGCTTGATGTAGGCTCGGGCTAACTTCTCCATGCTCCAAGTCTCATTCATCGGGATAAAGCGAGCGGTCTTTGTTAACCGGTCGACTATAACCAAATTTTGTCATGGCTAGACTTGGTTAGGGGTAAGCCCCCAACAAAGTCCATGGAGATGGAATCCCACTTCCATTTTGGCACTTCCAAGGATTGCACGAGTCCCTTGGGCTTGCAACGTTCAGCTTTCACCTTCTGGCAGTTCAAGCATCGAGCCACGAATTCAGCTACCTCCTTCTTCATGTTCGGCCACCAAAAATTCTTTTTGATGTCCTTGTAGAGTTTGTCGCCTCCAGGGTGCACTGAGTAGGGCGTGTGGTGCCCTTCCTCCATGATTTTCTTCTTAAGCTCTTCGCATTTCATCGGAACACACCATCTTCCTTTGTGTCGAATGCTCCCATCTTCGTGCAATTTGAACGGTCCATTCACGCCATTTGTCATACCGGCTCGGATTCTATCCAACTTGATGTCTCCAGGTTGCCCTTCTCGAATTTCGTCGAGAATAGATGGGGTAACGGTCATGGTGAGTAACCGCGTTTCCTGATCTACCTCTCCGAAATCCCGAACTTCCAAGTCTAGCTTCTGAAAGTCCCGATATAGCTCATCAGGAAGTATCCATGTTGCTTTGCAGGAGTGAGTTGATTTTCGGCTCAACGCGTCGGCAACTACGTTTGCTTTCCCTTCATGGTACTGGATCTCCAAGTCGTAGTCTTTGACGAGTTCTAGCCAGCGTCTCTGTCTCATGTTGAGCTCCTTCTGGGTGAAGATGTACTTCAGGCTCTTGTGATCGGTGTAAACTTTACAGTGTACCCCATAGAGATAGTGCCTCCACAGCTTTAGAGCAAAGATAACCGCTGCCAGTTCAAAGTCATGAGTCGGATAGTTGACCTCATGTGTCTTCAGTTGCCTTGATGCATAGGCCACCACTTTGCCGTTTTGCATCAATATGCAACCCAATCCCTTTAAACAAGCATCGGTGTAAGTCTCGAACCCTTCAGTCCCAGATGGTAGGGTCAAGATAGGTGCAGTTGTTAAACTCTGCTTCAGCTCTTGGAAAGCTTTCTTGCACTCATCACTCCATATGAACTTCGTGGTCTTCTTCGTGAGATTAGTCAAAGGCTTTGCTATTTTTGAGAAATCCTTCACGAATCTGCGATAATAGCCTGCCAACCCTAGAAAGCTCCGGACCTCCGTCACGGTTGTGGGTGCAGGCCAGTCTATCACCGCTTCTGTAACACCCCGACCCCGTAGGCTCCGAGGTAGTTACTTCTGACCTCTAGTACTATACTCACAAACCGCCACTAGCCTTTTCCGCGCACTTTGTCCTCACTCGTGCGCGCCCTGAGAAACTTCCCAGGGGGTCACCCATCCCAAGACTACTCCCGTGCAAGCACGCTTAACTTTGGAGTTCTTGGCTAATGAGCTCTCTTAAAAGGAGATGCACCTTATTGGTATGAGTAGTACTATTAATCCATTTAAATTAAATCTCAAGTGTTACAATCACCCCCACTTAGGAACGCAACGTCCTCGTTGCGCCCATAAACCAATCTCAATCAAATCCCAGAATCTTTTTCCCCCGCTAAGTGTCTGCCCGATATCTAACGGGTCAACACACTGTCGCAGGGTTGCTCTGATACCACCTGTAACACCCCGACCCCGTAGGCTCCGAGGTAGTTACTTCTAACCTCTAGTACTATCCTCACAAACCGCCACTAGCCTTTTTCCGCGCACTTTGTCCTCACTCGTGCGCGCCCTGAGAAACTTCCCAGGGGGTCACCCATCCCAAGACTACTCTCGTGCAAGCACGCTTAACTTTGGAGTTCTTGGCTAATGAGCTCCCTTAAAAGGAGATGCACCTTATTGGTATGAGTAGTACTATTAATCCATTTAAATTAAATCTCAAGTGTTACGGCTTCGATCTTGGATGGATCAACGGATACACCTTCTTGAGTGATGATGTGGCCCAAGAATGCGACCCGGTCCTTCCAGAAATCACACTTTGAGAGTTTGGCGTAAAGCTGATTTTCTCTCAAAGTCTGCAGGACGAGCCTCAGATGTTCTTCGTGATCTTTCTCGTTCTTCGAGTACACCAAAATATCATCAATAAACACTACCACAAAAGTATCAAGGTATGGGCGAAATACACGGTTCATTAAGTCCATGAACACTGCTAGTGCGTTGGTTAACCCAAACGGCATCACGGTGAACTCATAATGCCCATATCTTGTACGAAATGCAGTCTTCGGTATATCTTTCTCTGTGATCCTCACCTGATGGTAGCCGGATCGAAGATCAATCTTGGAAAATATACCCGCTCCCTTCAGTTGATCGAACAGGTCATCAATGCGAGGTAGCATGTACTTGTTTTTTATGGTCGCGTTGTTCAGCTCCCTGTAATCGATGCAGAGTCTCAGACTTCCATCCTTCTTCTTCACAAATAAGACCGGAGCGCCCCAAGGTGAGACACTCGGTTTGATGTAACCCTTCCCCAACAGTTCCTCGAGTTGTTCTTTTAGTTCTTGCATCTCCTTCGGTGCCATTCGGTATGGTGCTTTTGAGATGGGTGCGGTGCCTGGCATTAGATCTATTGAAAATTCAACTTCCCTCTCTGGCGGCATCCCCGGAATTTCTTCTGGAAACACATCCGGAAATTCATTGACCACAGGGATTTGGTCAATGGTTGGACTCTCGGACGTCAAGTCTTTGATCATGCACAAGAAAACCTCATACCCCTTCCGGACGTATCGTTTGACTTGTTGCATGGTTGCCAGCTTCACGCCTGGCCTAGATGTGACCGTTTTGTAGGATATACGTTTCTTATTGGGTCCTCTCAAGACCACCTTTTGTTCATCACATAGGATTTTGGGTTTATATTTCCCTAGCCAGTCCATACCCAACACCACGTCGATATCCTCCAAGTCAAACTGGATTAGATCTCCGGGTAGTTCAGTATCGGATATGACTATGGAAATATTGGAGAAAACATTCCCACACGCTACAACTTTGTTGGATGCCGTTTTTACATTAAGATTAAGTCTAGAGCTAGGTTCTAACTTTGACTTTTCCACAAATTTTGAGGCTATAAAACTGTGGGAAGCACCCGAATCAAATAGTACATAAGCAGGTGTGGAATTTACAAGGAAGGTACCTGATACCACATCGTGCGCATTTGCTTGAGCCTGATTCATGACGTAAATCCGGCCTTGGGTGTTGTTCTGCCCTCCCTTGCCTTGATTACGGTTGGCCTCCGCTGGGCGGTTTCCAGGATTACCACGGTTGTTGTTGGCATGATTATCCCCACCCCCTGCTTGGTTG